CCCCTGAGTTCCTGAGGGCTAAATATGCTACTCGCGCGGAGTGGTTTTGCCTCCAGCGGGGCCGGGGAGGGGATATTTAAAGAGATCTGCCTGGTGGAGCAGGCGCCCCCCCCCCGCAGCCTCCCCCCCGAAAACTTCCCCGGCTCTGCCGGCTGCCCCTTTCCATTGACTCAGAACGATGTAACTCTACATAGGACTGCACTGGTCAGTATCACTGGTTTTACTACAGCGTAAACAGGCATTCAGGACGGCCGCTTAGGGCAAGGAGGAAATTTCCGGAAGCTCCACCCCCTCCCTGGTAAAGCCACGCCCCCTCCAGGCTGTACAGGAACTTGCATTTCTCGGTTTGCATCTCGGTGTTGGGTTTGCGTGTTGACCGGGCTGCTATCATGCCGGGCCTCCTCCTGGGAGATGAAGCGCCCAACTTCGAAGCAGAGACCACCCACGGCAAGATCCGCTTCCACGAGTTCCTGGGAAACTCGTGAGTCGTAGTAATAATAAATAATGGTGGTGACTGTGCGAGGGCCTTCCTTTCCCGCTGCCAACAACTTGATCGATGCCTTGCTTCTTTTCCAGTGGGGGTGGGATGGTGGGCAGGTTTTAGGGTAGCCGTCGTCCCGCTGCAGAAAAGGGACGACCTAAATATCCACGGCATTGGAGTCTCTTACTTACGAGGAGAGGTCGAAGCATATGGCGCCTCTTTCTGTGTTACCTCTTCCCTCCCCCACCCAACCAAGACTAAGAGGGATGTGTGATGGTGGCTTATTAAACGATGCATAGTGTGGGGAAGCGGCTGGAGGAACATCTCGACCAAAACGCAGAATGGATAGACTGTAGATGCAGGGCGGGCATGACTTCCCCACGGTGCATGCTATAGGAATGGCCGCTCGTTAGGTTCAGCTCTGTTTACCTGATGACTTTTGTGAATTTTTCCTGTTTTAGCCTAATTCATAGGACTGTTGAATTCAGGTGGAGTAGCTGTGTTGGTCTGAAGGGGCACCTTTAAGACCAACAAAGTTTTATTCAGGGTATCAGCTTCCATGTGCGAGCACGCTGTATTTAAGGAAGTGTGCTTGCACACGAAAGCTTACACCTTGAATAAAACTATGAACAAAGGTTCATGGGATTGTTGTGAGACTAAAATGGTTGATGGGAGAACGATGTGTACTATCCTGAGCTTTTTTTAAAAAAATTTAAAGTTCTTTTTATTAATTTTCTCATAAACAGTTTTCAGTAACATTACTATTAACAGCTTTTTGGAGGAAGGGTGGGATAAAAATGTGCTTTATTGGAATATAGAAGAGTATTTGCCTACTTTAAAAGTTCTGCCCCCCCACGCACACTACAAGATCACACAAGCACTTGCTCATAGGATACCTGTATGCTTCAGCGGTTGCATTAGTATTAATTAGGGGTTACTTTGCTTCAGAAAAGTAGTAAGGCGCCTGAATGTGGAGATCTCAACATCAAAGGAGAATGTACATATTAAGTTTGAATTTGGAACAAATTCTGCTTGTTCCAAATAGTAACAGTTGTATGGAGTAAAATGCAGCATTGTGGATGTTTTAGTAGTTTACCAATATTGTCAAGTATTGGGCAAAACAGAAATGGAATGGGCCAGAGAATTCCCCTTTGGATGGATAGGAAAGCTAAGGAATATGAAGTTAACATTGGGTAATTGTGCAAACTATACTTGGGTACATTTATGGCAAAATAAAGCCCTGCTGAATTCAATAGGTCACTCGCAGAGAAGTGTTTAATTCATGTATATTCCACTTTTCTCTGTGCTGGGGACTAAGTGGTTTATATAGCATTCTCCCCTTCAAGTTTATCCTCACTTCAACACTCTGAGATAGGTTGCAACACTGTATATCTAGCACAAGGTCACCCAACATGGCTTCCATTGGCAGAGTGGGGATTCGAATCTAGGTCTCTCAGATACTAGTGTGACCCTCTAGCCACTACACTATGCTAGTTCTCTTATGGTGTTGATAAGACTTCCTCTTTTTAAAAAATGAATGCACGGCCCTTAGTTTTGCAAATGATGTATTCTGTTACGGATTGCCTCTCCGTATCCAACTCTATGAAGGTTGGGGGAGATTTCAACTAAGGTGTGCTCATGGATACTTAATGCGACCAAAGTCTCCAGTGTGCGTTAACCACCTTGTTGCACACAGCCTGACTGCATGTAGCAAAGGTAAGGAAGGAATACCAGAGAACCACCAATTTAATTTTTAATCTGCATCCACGTCCCTCTGCAGGATGCCATTGCTAGCCCATCTACAGGCTATTTAATTATACCTGATCTGTTGTATGATCTGTATCCATGCAGACCATGCCAGTTTTAGAATTGCCTGGGGAGGGCGGGGTATAAGTATGAATAAATAAATAAATAAATAAATTGCTTTATTACCAAGAAAAAGTCTACTGAGATGAAATTGTGTCACGTGACAGAATGGCCCCTGCAGGAGCCTCTCTTCTGCTGCAGGGTGTGTGAGATTTACTCAGCTGGATCAGGTCCCAAGTTGCTAGCTCTCAATGAGAAGTTAACCTCTTCAGCCTTGCTCCACCACTTCCAAAAAGGAATAAGAACTTTTACCGCATGCTGCCAAGAGAGGCGTATAGGGGTATGATAGTGGTCTCTGGCAGCAAACCCATAGTGTATGCATGTCTCTTTTTGAAGACTCTTTAGGTTAAGGACTCCAGGTTTTTCCTGCTCTGTTGTGTAACCTAGAGGGACCAAATGTAAGACATTTTAAGGTGTGGGCACAGAATGATCACAACCGCACTAAAAATTAACTTCTTGGTTACAGAAGGGAAGAATCATGTAGAGCAAAGAGAAATTAAAATGAATGCTAAAAGCAGTCTTTTATCCCCAGGTCTAAAACTTATACCTCTCTGATACGTAGATGGAATAATCTTAATTGCCCGATTTGTACGGAGCTCCGGAAGAGAACCTCTAGGGGGCAGGGCGGTCACGTGGTGAAGCCCCGCCCCCTTCTTTACCCCGCCCTCTGCTTCGATCCTCATTCCGTTTGGGAATGAGGATGAAGCAGGAGGGTAAGTAGCCGGGCCTTCTGACACACTTCCGGTGATGTCAGGGGGTGTGGCCTTCTGTCACTTCCGGTGATGTCAGGGGGCGTGGCATATGCAAATAAGTTATGCTAATGAGTTATGCTAATGAGCTCCGGCAGCTCTTTTTCTACAACAAGACCCCTGCTGATACGTAGATGGAATAATCTTAATTGCTCGATTTCAGTTTCCATTTCTTTGCATTGGTTGTCTTGAAGCTATCTTTCCATCTTTTCAACCAGCTTTTGGCCTCTGTCAGAATGCTTCTTCAGAAACTCTGAGGATATTCTCCTGGAATTTCTCACATTCCAAGCAAACCCCAAACGCAGGGTAGGGCTACCCCCCTTTAAGCATCAGCAGCTTCTCCCCTGCTGTCGGTGGTTCAATGCCTGGCCACCAAAGCGACTTTAAAGAGTTTAGCCATCTAAAATGGTTCGAGTCCACCAAGGCTCCCTCTAAGCTGTGGAATCCTGTGAGCAAAAATTCTACTTGGTGAGCTCCTGGCATTAAAGCTGTGAGCGAGTGATTTGGCTGCTGCATGAATTAGTTTGCTCTGAAGCCCTCCTTCCTGAGCTAAGACAAAAATATGTGAGTCGGAGGCTAAAAAACTGTGAGCTAGCTCACACTAACTCAGCTTAGAGGGAACACTGGAGTCCACTACTGGACCGTGCAATCCTGTCCCCCATGTGTTTTTAAGTGCTGGGGGGGGAGAGATTGCGGGCTTGCACTGCACCATGGGCTTGGTCAGGATTGGGCCCTTGCCGCATTTTTAAATGGCCAGATTCTTCTTTAAAATGGCATCCGTGGCCATAGGTTGGGCTCATGACCGTCATGATGTCTAGTTTGGCTCCCAGTCTGCTGCTGACATGGTTGCCCTGATTCTGTAACAAAACTGACTGTTCAGTTTGGCTGTTTAACATTAACGTCTGAATTGCTGTCTTCCCACACAGAAAGCTATATTTATCCAGCTAGGAAAATGGCGTGGCGGTAAACTAGCCTCTGAGCACTAGCAGGATACTGATTAAAAATTATTCTTCCAAGTGTATAGCTTTTACATAAGTGCCTTGAGGGGGGAGGTGTCAGTTCACCACACTTGGTAGGCACGTGGCAAATATTGGTAAAGAGACCATAAGAGTTACTTTGTTGGAATCCATTCTTGCAAAAGACTAATAAATTAGTAATAAAATATGAAAGTGTTCAGTTTATGCCTGTAGCAGATCTCAAGATGAACCTCTAACAACTAAATCTCCCAGGGCAGTACATGGTTAATTCTGATCATTTAACTCCAGCCAAGTGTGTATACCTAGAGATGTAAAATTTCCGGAAATTTTGAAGCTCTGAAAAAAACACCCGTTTTTTCCGGGAAAAAACAGAAATTTTCGGAAAAATTGAAAAAAGGCTAGATTAGCATTTCTTTTGTCTTTTCTAGATTGAAAGTCATTCTGTTACTTTAGGAACATAAAATATGACTATGGACATTTTTACTTGGCATGAAATTATCACAACTAGCATATTAAAAATATAGTGTGTCCAAACAATTATTACAAACAGACTACCCACCCACATGCAAAAACAAAACGTTTTTATTTTCTTCTGACAATCGCACCTCCTAAAGGAAGAAATGCATCTTGTTCTTGCATTGGAGAGTTCAGTTTGTACCCTAGGACTTGCTTGTCCTCAGTGCACAGAAATTAGATCAATCTGATACCATATATATATATATTAGAAATGATTTGGAAAATATTTGAACACCTTGTCTTAAAATATTTTATTCATCATGTTAAAATAAAATGTCCCATAATCAATTTTTTTTCTTTTCTTTTTTCAATTTTTCCAATTTTTCGGAAAAAAACAAAAAGGCTTCAGGAAAAAAATGGGAAAAAACCCGTTTTCCCCTCGAATTTTTCCGGGATTTTTCCGGGCCTTCACATCTCTATGTATACCCTGTTCTTATGAAACTGTTCTTTGGAGCCTTTATAGTTAGCAACTTGTACTTATGTCATCCAACATGTTAGCAACTTGTAGTTACGTCCTCCACACCCAGTGACTGCAGAAATGTATTTGCGGTGCGTATTCCTACACTCACAAGTGGCATGATGAAGTCCAGTACCCCTCACCCATTTCTAAGTGGTACATTAACATTAGAGTAGAATTCCACCCAAGCTCAACATGAATAAAGTAGAATGTGTGCTGTTCTAAAGGATTCTTTGAAGTGCCTGTGATTGGGAGGCTACAAGGTATAGATAGGAACTCTCAGTCTGGGGCAAGTGATGCTCTGTATTCTTGATGCTTGGGGGGCAACAGTGGGAGGGCTTCTAGTCTCCTGGCCCCGCTGGTGGACCTCCTGATGGCACCTGGTAATTTTGGCCACTGTGTGACAGAGTGTTGGACTGGATGGGCCATTGGCCC